TTCTAAGCTTTAAGAAAAACATTACTTTTGTAGGAGAAAGCATAGACTTTTTTTAGATTAAATTTCAATGGGATTTTGCTTTTTACGCAATTTGTAGAAGTTGAAAGTGAGCATCAGTATTGTAGCTACTGTGTGCAAATTATTTAAATAGGCCCCTAATTAGAGCTGATAGTGAGAGGGAGGGTCACAGTAAATGTAAAGTGGAAAATTATCTTCTCCTGACTCAGACTTGAGTGCAGTCTTCGACAAGCGGGGGCACTGTGGGGGGGTGGACTTAAAGGAAGGACCGGGAGCTGTGCACGATGACTTCAGCGCAGGCTGCACCAAACGGTAGTCACAAGACCTCTTCCCGGATGTGAAATACATCAGCTGAATTCCTAGGGTTACAATCTCCAGTCTTGAAAAGGCAGATACAATTTCAAGATAGGATTAAGAGTTCAGCGGGATTAATGGAAAGATCCTGACAGATAGAAGGGAAAAAGCAATTAACACACACTGAGAGCCACAACCGGGTAACATAAGGACGGCAGGGAGGGAGGAGAATGAGAACCATCAAGGATGACTCCAAAGTTTACGGACTGGGGCCAGCGTTGTGTTATAATAGTGGTTAAAGCTGCTGCCTGTGACGCCAGCATCCCATGTGGGTGCCAGTTCGTGTCCTGGCTGCTCCACTTCTGATCCAGCTCCCTGCTAATGGCCTAGGAAAATCGGCAGATGATGGTCCAGGTGTTTGAGCCCCTGCAACCCACATGGCGGACCCATATAAAGTTCCTGGCTCCTGGTTTCTGCCTGGTCTCCCATGTAGGTGCAGGGACCTGCAATGGAAGTGGAGCAGGGGCCAGCACTGTGGTGTAGCGAGTAAAGCTGCCACCTGCAGTGCCAGCATCCCATATGGGAGCCAGTTCAAGTCCCGGCTGCTCCAGTTCCAATTCAGCTCTTTGCTGTGGCCTAGGAAAGCAGTAGAAGATGGCCCAAGTCCTTGGGCCCCTACTCCTGTGTGGGAGGCCCAGAAGAGGCTCCTGGCTCCTGGCTTCAGATCGGTGCAGCTCCAGCTATTGTAGTCAACTGGGGAGTGAACCAGCGGATGGAAGACCTCTTTCTCTTTCTCTCTGCCTCTCCTTCCCTCTCTGTGTAACTCTGACTTTCAAATAAATAAATCTTAAAAAAAAAAAAAAAAAAAAAGAAATGGAGTAGCTGGGACTTGAACCAGCGCCCATATGGGCGGCCAGCACTGCAGGTGGAGGTTTAAACTTCTCTACCACAGCAGCAGCCCCTGGTTATTTAGCTTTTGTTTCTAGGCCCCACAATTGTCCTTTTTATATTCTGCTTCGTTCGGATGGGGCTGGGAGTCTTCAAATTACAACTCGCAGGATCTCTCATCAGCTGGCTTCCTGGAGGATATCCCACATAGGTCTTTGGAGGGCAATCAGCAGACCAGAGAGAGAAGAGGGAAATTTCCTGCTTCTAGCTCTGGCAGTTGCTGTGGCAGCAGCCGGAAAAGAGCATTCTGGGCTACAGCAGAATCTCTGGTGGCTCCAGTTCCGATCAAGCTGGCACCTTTTCAGTATGTCCAAGCCTGACGGTGTCTCCAACAGTGCAGCAGCAGCTACAGGTTCCCCGGCTCCAGCTTCAAAGGGCATGGGCAGCGTGTGATCTCTGAGTATCATTTCCTTCTTTGTTTTTGTTTCTCCAGCCCTCTCCCTCATTTTTGCTCTCCCAGGCCTTCCTACACTGTAGTACTCCCTGTAGTAAATTATTTATGCCTGGAATGGCTCTTGTTTTCTGGATAGGACTTTTACTGTATAATTTGGGCACAATAAAAGATCCTAGGAATCAGGATTTGGGGGTTGGTTTGCTGTTTGGCTTGCATGGACTGACATCCTCACTGCCAGTGGAGAACAGAGCGGTAATATGCAATATCACACAGTGCACTATGATGTCATACGTTATTACTGATGTTTGCTTAGGAAGAAGTCCTATTGAAGGCAAGGCTTTGGGAGACCAACTGGCTGCTGCATTTAACCACTGCAGTAGTAACGATGACTACAAGGCCTCTGGGGAGGCTAGCTGCTTCCCTAGCACTTGCAGAAAAGAAACAGCAAGTTCTAGGGTTTAAATTTTCAGCTCAAGTTACCATCAAAGAAGCAGAGAACATTTGACAGCACCCCTGAAGGAATCTCTCTGTGAACCCATAGGGTGGATATAGCTAAAAATTACTCATATGTAATCATGTACTCACACTGCAAAATTATGACATCATTGATTTTATAGCTTGACCAAATTTCTTATGTGAGGGGCACTGATTATGAAGGACAAGGAACCATAAATTGGAATGGGAACATTTAAATAGATTCAGACAAGAATCTTGAACACTTAAATTCCTCTTGTCAGAGGACTATAGCCTTCCCTTTTTATTTTTTTAAGATTTATTTGGGGGGCCCTTGCTGTGGTATAGCAGGTAAAGTCACCATCTGCAGAACCAGCATCCCATATGGGTGCCAGTTGAGTCCTGGCTGCTCTACTTCCGATCCAGCTCTCTGCTATGGCCTGGGAAAGCAGTAGAAGCTGGCCCAAGTCCTTGGGCCCCTGCACCCACGTGGGAGACCAAGAAGTTCCTGGCTCCTGGCTTCAGATCGGCACAGCTCCAGCCATTGTGGCCATCTGGGGAGTGAACCAGCAGATAGAAGACCTCTCTCTCTCTGCCTTTCAAATAAATAAATAATTTTTTTTTAAGATTCATATAGGGACCAATGCTGTGGTATAGTAGGTTAAACCTCTGCCTGTGGTGCCGGCATCGTATATGGGCACCAGTTTGTGTCCCAGCTGCTCCTCTTCTGATCCAGCTCTCTGTTGATGGCCGGGAAAGCAGCAGAGGATGGCCCAATGCTTGGGCTCCTGCACCCACATGGGAGACACAGAAGAAGCTCATGGTTCCTGGTTTTTGTTCAGGCTAGCTCTGGCTGTTGTGGCCATTTGGAGAGTGAACAAGTGAATGGAAGACTTCTCTGTCTCTCCCTCTCTCTGTCTGCAACTCTCTATTACAGACTGAGGAGAAACACACAGAGAAAGAGAGATCATCCATCCACTGGTTCACTCCTCAAATGGCCAAGATGGCCAGGACTGGGCTGGGCCAAAGACAGGAGCCAGGAGCTTCATCCAGGTCTCTGCTGTGAGTGCAGGTGCACAAATATTAGGCCATCTTCTGCTCCTTTCCCAAGTGCATTAGCAGGGAGCTGGACGCTCACATGAGATGCCAGCATCGCAGGCATGGCTTCACCAGCTATGCTACCATGCCAAACCCTCGCCTTCCCTTTCTTGAAGCCTTTGTAATAATTCACCTGAGGCAACGACCTGCAGGGGCTGCCTATTTCCCTCCAGGCATACCTCATCGCCCCGTATTGCTATCCGACCACAACTAGGGTCAGATTCCAGCACTTTCAAGGCTGACAATTCAAAAATCTGACGTAAAATTATATATCAAAGCATTTATTTATCAAAAATATCACAAAATTTTGCTAATTTATCTTGGACAAACATGGAAATATCCTTGGTAATGGATTCTAAGTAATGTAATATTGAAATAGGCTTAATTTATTGATATTAATGCAATCACCAGAGGTTCTGGATGTGATGTGTTAGCATAAGCCCCTGGGAACAGCTCTAAAAACCTGCTTCACTGGTTTCCTGTAACGTGAACTCAAGGGTAGACTATTTACATTAAGGCTGAGATGCCAGAACTTCTGACATAATATGGAAGAAGAGGCTGGCACCACGGCTCACTAGGCTAATCCTCTGCCTGTGGCAACGGCATCTCAGGTTCTAGTTCCAGTTGGGGCGCCAATTCTGTCCTGGTTGCTCCTCTTCCAGTCCAGCTCTCTGTTGTGGCCTGGGAAGGCAGTGGAGGATGGCCCAAGTCCCTGGGCCCTGCACCCACATGGGAGACCAGGAGGAAGCATCTGGCTCCTGGCTTCGGATCAGCACAGCACGCTGGCCGTAGTGGCCATTTGGGGGGTGAACCAACGGAAGGAAGACCTTTCTCTGTCTCTCTCTCTCTCACTGTCTAACTCTGCCTGTCAAAAAAAAGCACTGGCCAGGATGAGCATTTGGTGCATTTGGTGCAGCAGTTAGGTCACCCCTCGGGATGCCCACGTTCCATACAGGAGTCCCTGGGATCAAGTTCCAGCTCTGGTTCTAATCCAGCTTTCTGCTGATGTGCACCCTGGGAGGCAGCAGACAATGGTTTCACCCATATGGGAGACCTGGCCTGAGTTCCTGGCTCGTGGTTTCAGCCTGAACCAGATCCAGCTATTGTGGGCTTTTGAGGAGTGAACAAATGGATGGCAGAGCTCTCTCTCTCTCTCTCTCTCTCTCTCTCTGTCTGCCCTTCAAACAAAACTAAATATAAATAATTTTTTGTATCACTGAGTAATACAAAAAGGGACTTCAAAAAGTTCATGGAAAATGCATATTATGAAAAAAACTATGCATGGATTTCAAATTTTTTTTGCACCAAGATAAATTTTTTTAAATTTCATTTTCAGGGTTAGCACTTGTGGTGCAGCAGGCTAAGCTGATGTCTGCAGCACCGGCATCCCATATGCATGCCAGTTTGGGTCCCAGAAGCTTCACTTCTTATCTAGCTCCCTGCTGATGGCCTTGGAAGTCAGCAGAGGATGGCCCAAGTGTTTGGGCCCCTGCACTCATGTGGGAGACTTGGAAGAAGCTCCTGGTTCCTGGATTTGGCCTGGCCCATCCCCAGGCATTGTGGACATTTGGGGAATGAACCAGCGAGTGGAAAATCTCTTGTATCTGTCTCTCCCTCTCTCCAATTTTGACTTATAAATAAATAATTAATTAAATAATTAAATTTTTGAAAAAAAAATCCCACTTTCCTCAAATTTGATGAAGTACCCTCACATGATGCTATTTTATTGCATAGCTAGCACACTTGGTTCTAGAATCCAGGGATGAAGATGGTGCATTTGACATCTAATACTCACGGAATGTTTGCTTTCTGTCTCTCCAGAGGTCTTAGCTCCCAAGACAAAAATGTTTGTCCCAGGAAAACACCGAATGGTTCCGTTAAGTTGGGTTGTGACTGACCTAAAAAAAAAGGAACATCACCCTTTTTTGGGGGGAGGCAGAGCAGCTTTGTACGAAGGACAGTTGCAACTGCTAAGGCAGCCTCATGAATCTGTTGTCTAGAACTTTAAGTATGGGAGGAGTGCAGTTTTGGGTGCCAAGGAGCCAGAAGGGTGCGATATGCTCGCCATTTACCTGTTGTCTCTCAGCTCCACACCTGCCACGCTATTTTCCACTGATGGAACTGGAATTCTGCAGGTCACATTTTCCAGGCTTCCTACTGGGGTCTATCACTAGGAGATGCTGACGGGAGATCAGTAAAAGGGAAAGAAGTTTCCTGCATTGATCAGCAGGGATGTGGCTGTTGCTGATGTCAACTGCAGTGGCAGTCAGTGGTGGTTCTATGCTTCAGCAATCTTCCTCTTTTGGATTTCCCACCTCTGATAGAAGCAGCACCTTCTGGAACTATCTAGAACTGTCGGCCGCAGCAACTCCAACTGCCCAGCAACCCATACAGATGTGGGGGCCCCAGCCCAGGGCATAGCAGCTTCTGGTTTGAGTCCTGGCTTTGCTCCAGGGACTTCTTGGAAATACACACCCTGAGAGGTAACATGTAATGGCTCAAGTACTTGGTCACCTGTCACGCACATGGGAGACCTTGATTGTGTACTGGCTGCCACCTTTGGCCTGGTTCAGCCCTGGATTCTGTGGCCATTTGGAAAATGAATCAGCATGGCCAGTGCCGCGGCTCACTAGGCTAATCCTCTGCCTGCAGCACGGGCACCCCAGGTTCTAGTCCCGGTTGGGGTGCTGGATTCTGTCCCAGTTGTTCCTCTTCCAGTCCAGCTCTCTGCTGTGGCCAGGGAGTGCAGTGGAGGATGGCCCGAGTACTTGGGCCCTGCACCCGCATGGAAGACTAGGAGGAAGCACCTGGCTCCTGGCTTTGGATCAGCGCAGTGCGCCAGCCGTAGCAGCCATTGGAGGGTGAACCAACGGCAAAGGAAGACCTTTCTCTCTGTCTCTCTCTCTCTCACTGTCCACTCTGCCTGTCAAAAAAAAAAAAAAAAAAAAAAAAGAAAAAGAAAAAAAAGAAAAAGAAAAAGAAAAGAAAAGAAAATGAACTAGCAGATGGATGCTCCTTGTAAATAAATAAATTTAATAATAATAATAATAATGGATGGTGCTGTGGTGTAGCAGGTTTAGCAGCTGCCTGCAGCGCCGGCATCCCATATGGGTGCTATTTTGAGCCCCAGGTGCTCCACTTCTGATCCAGCTCCCTGCTAATGCACCTGGGAAAGCAGCAGAAGATGGCCCAAGGGTTTGGGCCTCTGCACCCATGTGATAGGATCTCCTGGCTCCTGGATTCAGGCTGTCTTAGCCCCGGCTGTTGCAGCCATTTGGGGAGTGAACAAGCAGATGGAAGATCTCTCTATATCTCTCCTCCCCCCCTGCCCCCCGTAACTCTACCTTTCAAATAAAATAAAATAAATCTTTAATGATAATAATAATAAACAATTTCTGCTCTCTGAAATACCTAGAGTGGTTTCTGTTTTCCCAAGTAGAACCTGACTGGTAATATCTTTAGTGCCAAAAATAGAAGACTCAATTGACCAAGGAAAAGATCTACCCTGAAATTTGCTCGTCTGGACAAATGACATAGCACCTTCCCTCTCAGCAGCTTTTATCCCCTTTACTTTTTGTAAATATAGTCAATTAGAAACTGTACGTATTTTGTTGCTGTGATTATAATGTTTCTGCAATTAATTTCTTCATGAAAGATTTTAAACACTCACCAAAGCAAAGTGTACCATATAAGGAACACTCATGTATAAGGGTGTATCATAAGGTTCATGGAAATGGAATTAAAAGAAAAATTTATATTGATGCAAAAATGTTGAGAACAATGTACCATTTTTACATAATGCACATTCCCAGGAACTTTCTGAAAATCTCTCAACTTATTACCAAGTTAAAAAAATTTTTTTTTTTAGATTTATTTATTTCTCCAAAAGGCAGAGTAACAGAGAGGCAGAGGCAGAGATAGAGAGAAGTCTTCCATCTGCTGGTTCACTCCCCAAACGGCCACAATAGCCAGAGCTAGACTGATCCAAAGCCAGAAGCCAGGAGCCAGGAGCTTCTTCAAGGTCTCCCACGTGGGTGCAGGGACCCAAGAACCTGGGCCATCTTCTACTGCTTTCCCAGACTATAGCAGACAGCTGGATCAGAAGCTGGGACTTGAACTGGAGCCCATATGGGATGCTGGCACTGCAGGCGGCGGCTTTACTGGCTACGCCATAGTGCCAGCCCGCTTATTACCAAGTTTTAACATTGAGCAGTTTTTGCTAGTTTTGTCTTTTGTTTCCACTTAAAAAAAGATTTATTCATTTATTTATTTAAAAGGCAGAATGAAAGAGAGGGGATGAGGAACAGAAAGAGAGAGAAAGAGAATTATCTTCTGACCACTGGTTCACTCTCCAAATGGCCATAATGGCAGGGGTTGGTCTAGGCCAAAGCCAGGAGCCAGGAACCCCATCAAGATCTCCCATGTGGGGGCTGGTGCCATGGCACACTGGGTTAATCCTCCGCCTGCAGCGCCAGCATCCCATATGGGTGCCGGTTCTAGTCCTGGCTGCTCCTCTTCCAGTCCAGCTCTCTGCTGTGGCCCGGGAGGGCAGTGGAGGATGCCCCAAGTGCTTGGGCCCCTGCACCCGCATGGGAGACCAGGAAGAAGCACCTGGCTCCTGGCTTCGAATCAGCACAGCGCTGGCCATGGCAACCATCTGGGGAGTGACCCAACGGAAGGAAGACTTTTCTCTCTGTCTCTCTCTCTCACTGTCTGCAACTCTGCCTGTCAAATAAATAAATAAATAAATAAAATCTATGTGAGTGGCAGCACTTGGGTCAGCTTCCAATGCTTTTCCACGTGCATTAACAGGAATCTTGGTCAGAAGTATAGCAGCTGAGATTCAAACTGGAGCTCTGATATGGCATGCTGGTGTTGCAAGTGGTGTCTTAACCCACTCTATCAATTTTTTTGTTTGTTTTTGAAATACAGAGTTACAGAGGGAGAGTAAGGTCTTCCATCCGTTGGTTCACTCCCCAATTTTGGCCACAACAGCCGGAGTTGAGCCAATCCAAAGTCAGGAGCCAGCAGTTTCTTCTGGGTCTCCCATGTGGGTGCAGGGGCCCAAGGACCTGGGCCATTTTCACTGCTTTCCCAGGCCATAGCAAGGAGCTGGGTCGGAAGTAGAGCAGCCAGGACTATAACCAGCACCCATATGGGATGCCAGCACTTCAGGCTGGGGCTTTAACCCACTGCACCACAGCGCCGGCCCCACTCTACCACCTTTAAGCCCAGAATATTTGAAAATGAAACCAAAGGCCCGATGTCGTTTCACCCACAGAATTTCAGGCAGGAGTCTCCTTCCAGGGCCTGCACTCATCCCTTTCCCTTCCTCAGCACAGGATTCCGCTTTTCCTTCTGGGAACTTCCACAGTTTGTTTAAGAGACAGTACAAAGGTTCATCCCTTGGCGCCCTCACCACCTCCACTGGGATGGGAACACGACCCAGGCAGGTCAGTCCAAGTCATGGAAGCTAGAGAATGAGGGTCTCCCGTGGGAGCGTGGGTCTTAAGATTCACACGAGCCTGGAACTGCAAAACATTATCTTCAGCAAGTGAGAAAGGCCACCTGGGAGCGAGGCTTACACGGAAGAAAGCCAGATGAAACTAGTTAGAGAGGCTTGATGACATTTTAACTCCTGGATCCAACTGTGCTTAAAGCCAGTGTACTCTGGATTTCTAGCCATATGAGCTAATAAATTCTTTCTTTCTTTCTTCCCTCCCTTCCTTCCTTTCTTTCTTTTTAAGTTTTATTTGAAAGGCAAAGTTACACACACACAGAGAAGGAGAGACAGAGAGATCTTCCATCTGTTGGTTCACTCCCCAAATAGCTGCAACAGCCAGGGCTGGGCCAGGCCGAAGCCAGGAGCCAGACGCCTCTTCCAGGTCTTCCACGTGGGTACAGGGCCCAAGCACTGGGGCCATCTTCCACTGCTTTCCCAGTCATATTAGCAGGGAGCTGGATTAGAAATGGAGAGGCTGGGACTTGAACTGGGATGCCAGCACTGCAGATGGTGGCTTAACTCGCTGTGCCGCAGGGCCAGCCCCATAGATTTTTCTGCTTAAATTTAAGTTGGATTTGTTTCATTTGTGACCAAGAGTTATTTATCCCTAATTTGTGACACTATCTGAGGCTGCAGCTATAGCCCATTCAAGGATACTTTATTTAGCAAGGAGAACACATTTCGATAAATGGGAAAATTAATGGAATCAGTGCAATGAAGGTCATTGTGTCAATGAATAGGTTCTAATGTTGTTATACTGGAAGTTGTGTCACCCCCCACCCCCATGACCCCTAAAGGTCTAGCATGCACCCACAAGTTTCTTTCAACTGTGTTCATTCATAGTTGTGAGTCATTTCTTCCCAGGATACAATAACTTTTATGGCACTTTTCATGTCAGAAGTTTTCCATCAATCTCTAATTAATAGCCAACCAGTTTTCTGAAGGTGTTTCCTTGGCTTAATGCACTGTAAAATATCCATCAAAGTAATATTTTCGCTTAGCAATTTTGCAATAATTTTAACCCTCACACTTGCACACCTATGTAAATTCACACAAGCCAGACTCATTCAGTAGAACATGAAATGATGGCAGACAGTGAGACCAGGGGCTGGCGCTGTGGCGTAACAGATTTGGCTTCTGCCTGTGGCACCAGCATCCCATGTGAGTGCTGGTTCATGCCCCAGCTGCTCCTCTTCCAATCCAGCTCTCTGTTAATGACTGGGTAAGGCAGTGGAAGATGGACTTTGGTCTCTGCACCCATGTGGGAGACCTGGAAGAAGCTCCTGCTCCTGGCTTCAGATCAGCCCAGGTCCAGCCATTGTGGCCATTTGGCGAGTGAATCAGAGCTCTTTGTCTCTCACTCTCTCTAACTCTGCCTAGGAAGGAAGGAAGGAA